AGCATTCTACAATGAGAACTACCCAAAGGAACCCCAGGGCACAGAACTGAAAAGAACGATCATAAACATGGTCAAACAATTTGAAGAGTTTAAAGAATATGCAAACACCTCATGGAACTCAAAGAGGATAGAAATAAACTGGCTGATAAGCTTGCAAAAAAACAAACACACTGCTGAATGAAATGACAAAGATAATTCAGGATTCGAAAAGTCAATTCACAAAAGAGAGAAATATTGAAGAAAACTCAAGGTGAGGTGAAGATGAAATTGAAAACCTCAATGAGCCAACTAGAAAAGACAGGAGAAAGTCTTAGCAGCAGAATGAATCAAATGGAAAACAGACTATCAAGACTTGAGAATAAAGTTGGAGAATTAAACCACCTTAAACCACTCAAGCGAAGATTATGAAAAAAAAGTCTAAATACAGAAATGGAATGTGTAGGAGCCGTGGAACACTACGAAAAGCCAAATATATGAATTATAGGCATAGACAAAGAAAATCTTGGACCAATGCCAATGACCAGATCTTCTACAGGATTATAGAAGAAAAGCAGATACAAGAAGCACACAGAACATTAAATAGACAGGACCATAGAAACTCCCTATGGCATATCACAGTAAAATTACTAAATATGCAGAACAAAGAGGGAGTACTGAAAGCTGCTAGAGAAAAACAAGCTACATATACAGGAGAGCCCATCAGAACTACAGCTGACTTTTCAATGCAAACTTTAAAAGCCAAAAGAGTCTGGAGTAATGTATTCCAAGTTCTGAATGATTACAGAGTCCAACCCAGAAATTCAGACTACTTTACCCAGCAAAACTGTCTATCAAAGTTGAAGAAGAAAATCTTCCACGATATAAATACAATATATGTGTGTGTATATATATATAATAAATAGATATAAACTGACATAAAATAACTCATGTCCAGCAAACCATCCCTACCGAGGATACTGGAAGCAATACAACAGACTGAAGAAATAATCATATCCAAGAAGCTACAGAAAGAAAACAAATGAAACTTAATTATAGAAACACAGAATAGGCCCAAGAACACAAAGAGAAAATAAAATGATGGTAACCAACACACATCTTTAAATAATAACTTTAACAATCAGTGACCTCAATGCCTCACTGAAAAGGCACAAGCTAGTTGAATGGATTAAGAAATAATATCCACCTTTTTGTTGTCTACAAGAAACTCATCTTACCTTAAAGGACAGGTGCCACCTTAGAGTTAAAAAGCCTGTGAACCACAACAATGACTGGTCTAGCAAATTATTTCTATCGGTACAGTAGTGGCACTAGATTTTATATTGGGGATAATCAACAGCTGTCTAATTGGACTCAAGGCCTACTCAGTGGGAGGGAACTCATGCATGGTACTGTAAACAGCCAGGTACACATGGCTGGAGAGGTCACAGACCCTTGAGAAGAGCCTATCTCTGTCACTTCCCTAGACCAGTGTAATTTACTATATTCTAAATATGTAGTCTTATATTGACAGACAGGTGTATCTCTCACCACTCATCAAAGAAGCTTCTTTTTGCAGCAGATGGAGACTATTACAAAGTTCCTAAACTGGTCAAATGAGAAGCATAAGTGACTGTGAGGTGCCCAGCCCTAAATAATACATCTACAATGCAACTGCTGCACCTAAGGCTCAGGGAATGTCGCAGGGGAAGGGGTGGAAAGGCATTAAGAGCCAGAGGGACAAACACCTGCTGCTCGTTAGACATGACAGGGAAGCTACACCAGTGAAATCCCCACCGTACGGTAGTCTAACAAGATCTGCATAATGACAAACGCAGTTAACATGCCAAGGTGAATAAGGAAAAAGTCACGGGGTCCCATCTCAAGATGAAGAGCTACAGGCAATCAGTGACTGCTAAGGACAGGAGAATCCGTTTCCTCCAGGAACTAGGTCCCTGAGAGGTCATCTAATGCCAAATGAGCAATCCTAAACACAGGTACACACGAGCACCACTAAATGGACTCCATGACTTATCTATACGTCTGTGTGTGTGTCTGTCTGTCTGTCTGTATTTATAAATGTATGTGTATGTAACAATAATCAAAGAAAAGGACAAGAACTTGAGAAAGAGTGTCGGGAACGTGGGAGGAGTTGGAGGGGGACTGGAAGGGATGGAAATAATGAAACACAATATTCATGTATGAAATTTTATTTAACGTTCAATGGAAAGTGTGGAGCCAAGATCATGGGTCAAGTCCAAGTCTTGCATGTCAAGTGCACACCAAGGTCTTTTCTCAAGAGGCCGAGCTCTTCTTCTCCCTACAGTATAACCATTGCAAATGCGGCAGGTGGATCTATCCTAGAACTGGGGGCAGTGGCACATCCCTCTTCATACCACCTGTCTTCTGCCTTTAGGGAAGAGTAAGCCAAAATCATTCTGTATGCATTAAATATCTCGTTTATAAGTTGCATTTCTACAAAGGGCCTCAGCAGACATCTCCATGGAGACCATACAGCATGAACTCATCACCATTGTGAAGTTATTTGTACATACAATTTCATGCTTCCATTTGGATCCTTTTCATCCCTTTGAGAAGTGACACCACAGCTGGTTATCTTCCTCCCTGATAAGAAGTCTTTTCTAAATCTTTTTCCTCAGTTCTATGTATACTTTAAACGTTCCTCTCCTCATGTCTTCTGTTTTCCTGCTCTTCATTACTATTTACTGCTTGATAATGAGACCCTTTTTGGGTTAGAGTAGTATATTAGTCATTTTTCTGTTGCTGTGGTAGTAACACTGACCCAAGCAATTTACAGAAGGAAGAGTTTATTTGAGCTTACGGTTCTGGGGGAATTACAGTCCATCATGGCAGGGAGGCATGGTGGCTGGAGGTGGCTGGAGCAGGAGCAGCAGAAGCTAAGCTCTCACATCATCATGCAGACACAGGAAGCAAGAGAGCAGCTGGAGATCTGGCAAGGTTTAAGAACTCTTTAAGCCCAGCCCTGGTGACGTGCTTCCTCCAGGACAGCCATACCTTCTAAAACCTCCCAAAACAGCGCCACCATCTGGGGACAAAATATCCAAACACTCGGAGCCTATGGGGGACATTTTCATTCAAACCACCACAGGTAGTCTCTCTGCATGCACGCTTTTGCTTTCTGTAGTCTCAGTTACTTGTGGCCAATAGAAAAATGGGTGAATGCAGTTCAAGATACTTAGAGAATGGGAGAAAGAAATCAGCCACACGATTTTTTTTATCACAGTATATTATTATAACCATCCCATTTTATCAGTGATCATCAGTTACGGTTGGTGACTCCTTTCTCTGCCTAACTTAAAATTGAAATTTTATGGTAGGTATCTGTGTATAGGAAAAACAGTGCAGGTAGGATTGGTACTACCCACAGCTTCAGGAATTCACTGTGGATCTCAGAATGTGGGCTTGCAGGTAAGGGGTTATGGGTAGAGTTGCTCTCCATAATTGTGAAATCCAAATTGGACTTTATTGTTAGAAAAGTCCAGCCAATTTGGTGTATAAAGAGCAATCATCTAATGAGTACTGTCACCCAGAATTTAATCTCCAGGACCATAGGAGCTTCTTAAACCACAGCATGTTGATAACCAATGGCTGTTTGTTATCTTGTTTTCTTATAAATTATACACAACTCTTCTATCTGTCCCAAGAACCCTCTTTCTGAATATGCTACTTTAATGGGCTGTGACTAAATGATTTTAACTGGTTATTAAAATGTAGCCCCATTTTTGCAGTTGTAAATATACATTATATAAAATAAGAGGCATTCAATGAAAGCTGTCCTTTGAATACTTGTCAGTCATCCAGTCCTCCCTCCACAACACCAAGGTCCAAACCCATTTCCTGTTGTTTGTATCCTTGCAAGGAGCATATACACATACAGTGTATTTTAATACAATTTGTAATATATTTTATTTTATTTTTTATTTATTTTTGGCCTTTTTGAGACAGGGTCTCTCTGTAGCCCCAGCTGTCCTGGAACTCACTATGTAGACCAGGCTGGCCTTGAACTCATAGAAATCTCTCTGCCTCTGCCTCCCAAGTGCTTGGATTAAAGGCGTGTGCCACCACACCCGGCTTTTTTTCTTTGTAGTATTTTTTATGATCTCATGCCAGTCTACAATTATCTCAAAATGTCTCTTTAAAAGCTAGAAACCACGCTAGGTGTGGTGGCACATGCTTTTAATCTCAACACTTGGGAGGCAGAGGCAGGTAGATCTCTGTGATTTCAAGACCAGTCCGGTCTACATAGTGAGTTCCAGACCAGCTGGGGCTAGAGAGACCCTGTCTCAAAAAAAAAAAACAAAAAAAAACATGAAACAAAACAAACAAAAAGAAACCAGAAAAAGCTAGAAACCTAGATCATGGTATGGAATTATCTGATTCACAAGTTGCAAGCAAAATTTTTATATTGCACACACATAGCAAGACTCATCTATAACCTAGATGTAGCTTCAGGTCTAGCTGGAGCATTATAATTTGAGTTGTTTGATGTCTAAGGCAGCTCAAACCATGTGTCCTAGTTTGCTTTCCTTTTGCTGTGATAAGGCCATGACCAGAAACAATTTGCAGAGGAAAGGGCTTATTTAACTTACAGGTTACAGTCCGGGAAGCCAGATAAGAACCCCAAGGCAGGAGCTTGAAGCAGGAACTGAAGTAGAGACCACGGAGCAATACTGCTTACTGGATTGCCTCCCAGGCTAGCATTCAACTACCTTTCTTATATAGGCCAGGCCCACACGTCCAGGGTGGTACTGCCCACAGTAGACTGGGCCCTCCTACATCAATCAATAATGAAGAAAATGCCTCACAGGCCAGTATGGTGGAGGACGTTCTTCAGTTGGGGTTCCCTCTTTTCCTTGTATCAAGTTGATAACTGAAGCCAACCACGAATTTGCTTAACAACAAATTCTTGTTACCATAAATGTTTACTACTCTTGGCAGTCTGTACCACCACTTCCTTACTGAGTTTTCTTCTCTCCTTCCAGGTCCTTGGATGTGGCTCTGTTGCTCAAGCTGTGCTGAGTCGAGGAGCTCTTGGTGGAGTCATCACCATCAATATCGGATTTGCAATAGCAGTTGTGATGGCCATTTATGTGACTGGAGGTGTCTCTGGTAAGCAGTAGAAACCATTATGGATGCTGTTAACAATCTTGGTGCACTGACAGTGTTGGGTGCTTTATGTATCTCAGTTTGTGTCTCAACAATCCTGCAAGAAATATGCATTTGATCTCTTTTTAGAGATGATAAAGTGGCCAAGAAATGGTAATTGGCCTATGCAAAGGCAATATTGGACAAGCACCAATGGTGGCTAGAACTCGTACCTGAGCTGTCACCTTTTAGCTTACATAGCCCAAGTTTGGAAACCATCCCCCAGATCCCCTGTGACTAGCTCAGTGAAGGGCACAGTGACAGAGGCAAATTCCTGCACCCTTATCAGCTGCAGTTACAGAGCTTAGGTTTTGTGCAAGATCAGCTTGGCCTCATGTCAGTGTGTATCTGAGCTAGAAAATGTGGACCTAATCTTCCCTGAGGAAGACTGCTGACTATATCCCTTGTGAGGTCCTGAGATGCAAAATGAGGGGATGGTATGAATGCAGTCTGGATACTGTGGGACTGTGGGAGGTGTTCTGGTCCTTCTGCTTCTGGTATGAGTACTGAGCACTGAGGCAAAATCACTGATAAGAAGAGAGGGGACCAAGACACCTCTGCATACCTAACACTGTGCTAGGCCCAGGACAGCCTTAATCATCTCCATCACCACACTCTGCAAGGACGTATTAGTGCCTTCATTCCAGAGAGAGCGTTAGGGCTGAGAAAAGCATCATAAATTGCTATAAGTCCTGCAGTTGGCAAAGGGACAAAGAGTTAGCCCAGGTCAACATGACATATATAATATTTCCCACTGGTCGGCTACTGGCAAAATTACCTTGGCAGTACATCCTTGAGGTGAGCTGGCTGATCTTATGATAAAGTTGACCTGGCACTGGAGTGCTGAAGAGCAATGTGTGAACTCCCTGGGGCCTTCCGGGGCATGGTGCCTCAAATGGTCCTTTACTTGATGACAACCTTGCATTTTTATAGCCAGACACTCAAGGTTCCATGTGCTTGTGATTTGAGCATGACTCAAGGTCTGTGTGTTTGTGATTTGTGCATGAGCAGCGTCTCCAAATTCTTGTTGTGCCTTGGCTGTGACCCCAACACTATGCCATCTACCTCAAGTAAAACTCATGTGGAGCATGAGATCAGCTGGAAAACTTCCTTGAACATGCCAAGGCTGGGTTAGTGTACAGGACTTTGACATCAGATATGAAGCACACTTTTGGCTTGAAACAGGTATGCAAGATGCTCCATCACTAATCCCTACAAACTTCTAGTACATTCCATAAGTGTGGTCTCTATACACATCCATTGTGAACGGAGGCACATTTCTAGCCATCTTGTAGTTGGAGACATGATACTGAAGTAGTTTTCCTGCATAACACCTGAACTGAACATTGACAAGTAGTGACATGGAATTAATTCCCTTGGACTCTGTCACTGTAATTGACACTGTCACTACCACTACAGGTTGTGGACATTTGTGTTCATTGTTATACTTGGAGACTTGGAGAGTCTCTGTAGTAGGAAAAGGGCAGGGACCAGGAAAAAAGCCAAGAGAGAAGATGAGAAGCTGGCATGGAGCTGTCTCCTCTGGCCTGTATACTGAGGTTACGCATCTGGGCATGAGGAGCAGAACTGATAGGACTGTCTTGTCCACAAGAGGTTGTATTTCCAGATGAGGGTCTGGTCCTGACCAAGTTGTTTATGAGACTGTGAGACCCCCAAATCCAAACAGAGCAATGGCTAAGCATAGCTGTTGAAAGACAATGTTGGGTTGAAACAGGAGTACCTGTCACCCTTCTGTTTGAACCTAGCACAGTTCAGACTCCCGGAGGACTGGTGACCTAGAGATGTATAGACACAATACTTCCATCCTCCAAGACAGCTACAGCATTAGTCTCAGCATAGGGACTGGTAAAATCAGGGAAGACAAATTCCCTGTGGGAGGTGACTTTATTGTGGTGGCTGTAGCTAACAGGTTGGTTTGTAGCCACATGGAAAATCCTCTTG